GGTGCTGACCAGGAAGAACAAGACCAACATGTCCCTGCTTTCCTGGGATGTCCAGTCCATTGCTGCAAAGGAGCATCGGTTCAGTAACAGCAGCACCAGAAGTGAACAGAGCTCTGGACTCCAGGTTTGGTCCTGATGAAGAAACTACAGGGCCTATGGCACCAAATCTAGAGCAGCACCTACTCGGCACAGATGGAGAACCAGGTTCAGTGAAGGAAGAGAGCAGCCCAAGGTTTCATGTGGCACAGCTCTGGAGACTTAGCTCAGAGCTCTTTTCTCTTTATTAAAAAGCTGCTCCTGCCCAGCTTTGGTTCTTGTAAATCATCTCCCCAGAACTCTGTTTTCCCTCCATACGGTAAAGGGGTAAGATCGAGATTTCAGCGGACTCAGCCTGTGCTGGAGGAGCATTTGGAGTAGGGAGTGGGACCAGCGCATCTTGCTGGATGAAGAGAGCATAGTTCAGAGTTAGAGGCATCACCTGCCAGGAGAAACGCTCCGCAGGGCCCTCACCGCCTGATGGACGGACCTGGAGAGGCCTTTCCAGGGACTTGGCCCCTCCCACGGGCCACTCCCTTGGCCTCTCTCATTCTAACTATGGCCAGACAGGCTCTGAGGACTCCTGGAACGAGAAATTTCTCTCATCAACTCTTTGGTTACTTTGAAATAGCAAAGGCAGATAAATGCTTATTTCTTTTTCTTTATTTTCCAGGTTTTAAAATGAATTGATGTTTTTAGCATCATCCAAATATTTTTATTTTTTTTTTAAGGATCATTTTGAACTCATGGATTTGAACATATCTGGTGTGTTTTAATCCAATGCAATTATAGGTGTTCAAATTGTCTCATCTTTAGCAAGAGAGGACCTCTTCCAGGTAGGTCCTGGGTCCTTTCTTTCTATTAGCCTTCAGTGGTCTTTAAGAGCTCACTTGATATCTAGTTTGACAATATATTCCAGCCTCATCTTGTACATTTTCTGCCCCAAGCCTGCAATCAGCCATTTCTCCAAGGAGCTCCTTGGATATTAAAAGCTCACAGTCTGGGCTCAACTGTCTCTTGGGAGAGTTTCTTCATGTTTCTGGCTGAAACTTGAAAATCAGAGCATGAGTGTCTCTTGCCTAACTCCAAAACACATAGTCTGTCCAAGGTTTAAATATAAAAAGGGGAAATTCCTTCTGCCTCTCTAAGACTTCACGTTGTTTCCCAATTTAAGGCAATGGTTCTTCACCCTGCCTCCATACTAGACCGCCCTAGGGAGCTTTAAAAAAAATACTGGCACTTGGATTAACTCCAGAGATTCTGGTTTAACTGGACTAGGATCTGGCCTGGGAAATAGGCTTTTTAAAAGTGTGAAGCAACCAGGTGGTGCTCAGCCCTGGCTGTACATTGTTTATCATTCCGTACGTGTTTTTACACTTTACCAGTGTGTGTGGAGCTCTAACCAGTACTGTTGTGCATGCCTTAAAAACGTATGCAGATCGCGTCCGGCTGAGCGTGCCATTCCCAAGCTCGCTCTTTCCCCCGGCATTGCCTTGATGCACCCCGAATTGATAGTTACACCTCTGGGATATTCACTGTGACTGTCGTAGCACATTAACGCCTTCCCTTTCCCCATCATTTTCTGCCCCCCTTTCCTGCAAAATGCACGTGCAGTTAGCTGCTCAGGCCGAGAGTCTTGCAGTCGTCCTTGACCCCTCTTTCTCTGACATCCCGCATCTGCTCGTTCAGGAAGCCCTTAGCTCTGCCTGCAGATACGCCCAGCACCTGACTCTCCCCCTCCGCTACCCCCTGGTCTGCCTGCCATTATCTCTTGCTTGGATTATCGCGATCGCATTCTAAGTGGTGTCCCTGGTGGAGCCTTTGATCTCTATAATCTGTTGTCTCGGAGCAGTCAGGATAAATAAATCAGGTCATGTCGCTCCTCTTCTCCACACTCTCCAATGGGTTCCCATCTGTCTCAGTAAAATTCAGAAGTCCTTACACGCCCCGCCAGAACCACGGGGCGAGCGTCCCTACCGTCCCACCACCTTCCGATCTTCCTGCCTCTGCTCCTGGCTCACGTTGCTCTAGCCACGCTTCCTTCATAATGTTTCTGGAATGTAACAGCCCCGTCCCCACCTCTGGGCCTTTACGCTTGTTGTTCCCTCTGCTTAGAATGTCATTCCTCCAAAATTCGTAAGACCAGCCTCCTCACTTCTTCCAAGTCTCTGCCCAAATGGCACTTTATGAAGGAGGCCCTCCCCGGCCAACTTGTGCGTGTTCTGAATGATAGGAAGAAACTGATGCTACTCTTAGTCTGCTGGGTTGGCCGGGACCATCATTATATGAAACGGAAAGGGGACCAGGGGTCCCTGGGAAGGGGCATGCCCTTGAAAGGATCGCCCTCAGCATCAGGGATCCCTCCCACGAGCACCCTTTACGTAATTGTTTAACAAACCAACCAAAACAAGAAAGGATTTGAGGGGTTAAAGAAACCTTTTCCTTCCCCTTCCCTCCCAAACATAAACTCACAAATACGTGCCTGCCGACCTGACCCACCGAGACATCAGTAACCGGGGAGGGCGGGAAGGGGGCGCAGGCCGAGACCCTCTGCGTTCATCTACCAGCCCCGCAGCCTCTCCGCACAGCGCACCTTCCCTTCCCGGCCCCGCCCCAAAGGTATGCCTGGCGCTGGCAGAAGGGAAAGAAAGGAGCCACAGGCCCTGCTTTGTTCCCTCGGTAAAACGGTGTTTTGTCCTGTTTCGTTTTAATTTTAAAATAGTCATGGATGTGAAAAGGCAGTTTCTGAGAACTCGGTGTACTGGGGAGGACATCCATCCAGCGGGTAAACAAAACAGACGTCTCCTCCCTGTCCTCCCCTCCCGTCCCTACTGCGTGCTTTCCCTCTCGCCATGCCCTGGCTCAGGGCCCTGATCCTGCCTGAAGTGACCTCACCCTCTCCACATATCAAAATAGTCTCTATTTTGAAGGTTCGGTTCCAGACCGGGTCCTCCCACATCCATGTCCACACCACCCCTGACCCTTGCCGCCTAAGGCTATTTTCCGAAACGCATCAGAGGTTATTGGAAGCAGCCTGGTTTGGGGTAAGTTGCGCTGTGAGCTCTGGGGTCCCCAACTTGACACTGAGCTCCTTCAGGATGCTCCTCAGCCTCGGATGCATGTTGGACTCACCCAGAGCTTTAAGAAATATTGTTGCCAGGTCTCATCCCAGAGATTCTGATTTAATGGGCCTGTGGGTGTGGCAGGGGCACCAGGATTTTTTAAAACATCCTTCTCCAGGTGGTTCCACTGTGTATCCAAACTGAGCACCTTCAGCCTCTCAGCAAGGGCTCTTTGTTGCTTTCTGCTGGTAGTTTGCATTAAGATGGGTTCTCGATTTGTTTATCAGATAACGAAAAGGGAACCTGCTAATGCTGTTCAGGGACTTGCTGAAGCTTCAAGCCGCCCAAAGTCCACAGATATTGTCTTTGATTTATAGGGTCATTGAGATTCCTTTTCTCAGTGGAGCATCAGCATCCCCTGGAGCTTGTCAGAAATGCAGAAACTCCAGTCTTGAGGACTGTGAAATGCTCAGCACAATGGTTTTGTCCGCCTCCTACACTAGACTTGCACAAGCAGCTCAAGGCTGTTCCCCTGGGACAACCCAGCCCTCCTGAGTCCAAGTCCCTGGCCTGGGAAAGCTCAAGGCTGGCAAAAGAATTTAGTTTGTTCCAGCCAAACATCTGACTGTAGGTCTCTGACCTCCCTTTTCTTAGAGCATTCAAAAACTTGCAATTGTAAATCATTTCTTTGTCTCTCTGAGATGTGTAAGTTTGTATCTCCTGAAACCCAGGAGTGTCTTTCTCAAGGACCTGGGAGCCAGCCCTTTAAAGTGCAACTATCAGGACAGACAGGGCTCCATCTCCCAGTCTCTGGGAGGGTGGATGCCTATGTGATGCCCAGTTAGACACAGATGGCCTATTCACACGGACCAACCTCCAGCCCGCTTTTTGTGATTTTCCACCTCCCTGACTCCGTTCAGGCCCCCACATGTTCCCCCTCACTATTCCATTCTCCCCTAAAATTCCAGTCACCTCTACCGAGCCCAGCTAGGAGCTGTTTCATACTGAGGCCTCTCCTCTGCTGCACCTGTTACTTAATAAAATCTGTCTTTACTGCCTTGAACTAGTGTCTGGCTTTTTCTTTAACAGTATCCACTTTAACAAGATCCTTAGGTGCTCTGCATATACATTAAAGTTTGAGAAGCACTGTTTTATATATCATTCCCTCAATGACTTCTAATAAACAGCTCTGAATGGTAGACAGGAATTATGATGCTCATTTTACCAGTGAGAGGGCTGAGGGCCAGAGCGTTGCTCAAAGTCACACAGTTAAATTAGCACTGAAGCCCATCTCACTGTGATGCTCTTTCCATAATGCCATACTAGTCATGAGGACCCAGGAGTGACACAGCTGGTGAAGGAAATCATAAGGTCTCTCTTTATGCATCCATTGCTGCAGTGTCCTCACAGGGTCTACTCTTCTTTAGCTGCAAGAGAGCCATTTCAGAATCAAGTGTCGTCCAGGCACCAGAGAATTCTCACCTGAGTTGTCTTATCAGTAGCTGGAGTCCCAGGGATCACAGCTACTGGGGGGATGAGTCACTGTACTGACCCAGTTCAAATACTGAAGAGTGTTCCCTCGAGTCTGCAGAAGCCCAGCCCTTCCAGGCCCGTGCATATACCACACAGCTGCTACCACCTGAAGTCAGACCAGTCACCATCTCAGTCCTGAACCAGCAACCTCACCCCACACATATGGAAAATACTGACTTTTCACATTCACTGTCTTTGGCACAGATTATTTAAATTCAGCCATCATTATGGTAAATATTTTTTTCTTAGCTTTATCAGAAATACTTGTATTATAGGCAATTTCTGCTGCATAATTTTATTAAAGCCAGAGATGATCATTTCTTCTAGAAAAACAAACCTCTGAGGTTAGAATGGAATACAAAAAACAGATTTCATTTTATAATCTACCTTTATCAAGCCATCCAGAGCACATCAATTTCTTTATCTGAGTATTACTTTAACATTATATAACAAATCATTAATAGAAAACACACAAGCCAAAAGCCTTATATCCTTAATCTTCTAGTCAACCATCAACTTTTCTTTGATTTTTAAAGACATGAAAATAAAACACTTATTTCAAATAACAGCACATCAAACACCATATACATTTGTAATGAGGTGCCCCGGTCAACTTTAAGTCTCATGTTTTCCAAGTTTTAGCTGAAATACCCCTCACTCGTTTCTTAGATTTTTATTAAGTCTTATTTGGGGGCTATTGTGTCTTATTGAGCCTAAACAGAGTACAATGTTAACAAAATTAATGATCTATACTGAGAAGATGGCCTAAGTAGGTTCTAACCCTTTAGAGACACGCATGGAAACTTAGCATCTGTGAACACAATGAGCCCCTAGTTGTCCCTGAGCTGGGCAGTCACACAATCAGTTTTTCTCTGAGGCTGAAGTCTGTGGTTTAATCTTCTTAGCAGCTTCCAGAACAGAAACTAGGTTTACTTTATCTCCAAATTCTTTTTCTCGGTGCTCAAGAAGAATGCCCTAGAAGGAAAGGAGAGGGAACATCAGTCATCATCCTGAGTCATTCATTCACGAGCCAGACACTGAGCAGCAGCTACCTGTAAAGCCCTGTGCTCAGGCAGCAGGGAACGGGGCCAGAGTTTGGCCAGGCTGTTCCCGAGGAGGTCAGTGTTTTGGGGGAGGCAGATCAGGGGACGGCCACGTCACAGTATCTGGACTGCACAAGCAGCGCTCTGGGAGCGGGAAGTCGGGAGTGATCACATATCATCAGGCGATTGGAGAAGGCTTCCCAGGTGAAAAGCAAGAGAGGTAACCAGATGTCTATAGGCAGAAGTGAGCTGAAAGAACGTTCCAGGCAAAGAGGACTGAATGAGCAGGAAGGTGTGGGGCCCAGAGGCCAGCCCCTGGCAGGTGTTGAATGACTGTCCTGAAAAGAGACCCCCTCTTCACTTAAGTTTTCCTAAGATACTGGGGCCCCTCACTTCTGATACTGTGATGAAAAATGCACTAAGACACAGGATACCCCAAAGTACACGGAAGTGGTAAGAAAGATAAAATAGTGTGCTTGAGGATCAGAATCAAGGGGTCCTTGTTAAAGAGTTCCTTGACCCAGGGCATCTGGGAATTCATCTTAAATTAAAAAAATAGCTGTAAACATGTTCATTGCACCATTGTTTATAAAGCCTTTAAAGAAAACAAAGTCTAGCGCACTGTGGCGGCTACAGGGGAGCTAACCAGGAAACTATTTACTTGCCCAATAAAGCAGCATGCAGACATTAAAAATACCAAGGAGGAGTATAAATGACATGGGGAAATGTTCATAATATATTGTTAAATGAAAAAGAACATCTAGTTTAGTAAGTTACCATTTTCTGAAAACAAGAAAACAAAGAGCCTCTCAGCTCAGCTCTGCTCTGCCAGGCTGTCCGTGGTAGCTGAGTGTATAGAATGGCTCTCCCTACCTTCTGTTTTGTTTTCAATTTTTTATGTAGGAAACACATTCTTCTTTAAAATAATTATGCTTGAAAGATTATTACAAAGGAAATCCCACTGAGCGGCACCTGACACAGAGAGACTTGCAAAACTCTGCTCTGAAGGAACATGGAGGCCAGTAGTCCCGAGGCAGGAAGGAAGAAGGCAGGAGCTCCAGGGAGCACCAACAAAGCAAACACCACGCCTAGCAACCCCAAGGGCACTCCAGCCAGGAATGGGGAGCCCGTGAGCACCTGATGAATCACTGCCAGGCAAGAGAAGGCTGGCAGGTGAGCCAAGCCCTGCCCTGGAGGCTGAGGGAAGGCAGGGAGGGAGGGGAAGGAAGGCAGAGGGTCAGAGTGGGAAGATGCTGAGCTATCCTCTGAGAAAGTGGCTGCCCAAGTGCAAGGGCATCTGGATGGGTCTTTGGGAACCACTCCTAAAGAGAGGCTAGGCTGAGGGAAGGGCAGGCTTCTGGAGGACAGATTGAGTTCCTGAGTTTCATCTCCACTGCACCACTTATGAGCCCGGTTTGTCGCCTGTGATTCAGATCTCTGGGCCCTTTCCTTACATGTAGATGGTAATCAACACACCTAACATCCCAGTCGGGCTGTGAAGACCTGAGACCGTGGATATGAGCACCGGGAGAAGGCAGGCCCCCCTGGCCATCACTATCACAACCACAGTTTGATGTTTAGCAGAAAGTTAGCAAATAGGTTTGTGGTAAATCAGATACCATCTCATGCTAGGTTCTAACACAGGCCAGCAATAGCAGTTACCAAGCTTTAAAGAAAGAGATTAGAAATAAAGCTTAAAATGGAAGGATTTCTATTCCCATTAGCTTTTACTCCCCCTAATTAGGAAAAGTACTATGTAGTTATCTGTTTTAGCAGCAAGATCCACCAACGCAGACAGCCTGTCTTTTTACAGATTAGGCCGAGTGTTAATGTCATCCTTAGGCGAAGGCTGTCAGGACCAGACTGGAAGTCAAGCGCCCCGTCTCCAGGTCCTCCTGCCACTTTACCCCCTCCCTGCTCTGTGTCCTCTGGCCTCTGCTGGCACTGCCCTCTGGTGCAGGGGAGTCATCAAGGCTCTGGGCTGTGTGACTTGGAGCAGTCACCTGCCTGCCTGCAGGGCCCACAGGGACCTCATCTCCCCACACCTTCTCCTAGGGGCCCCAAGTTGCTTTGGATTGTCATAGCCAGGGCCCGAGGTAGCCTATGTGGTGAGAAGTCTATTACCCCTCCAGGGGCGACTCTGACACCAGCACCCCCTCCCCCATGAAAAGCATGATCTCTCCCACACCTCCTTGCTATTTCCCCTACTTAGGCCTGGTTTAAGTCCTTCTTTCCCTTTCACTTTTCTCTACCGTCCATCCTTGATAACCTGGGAACACTGCAAAGTCCACTGGCGACAGGAAAGACCTATGCTTTTGTTCAAGCACAGAAAACAGAACTGGACATCAGCACGCATGGCTCAGGCACCCGCAGTGCCACCAAGAAGTCATGCTCCGCGGTGCGGCCACTCCCCTCTCCTGCAAACTGCGGCTGTCTTGGGATGCTACTGTGAAGAGTGAGATGTGTGATAAATAACAATTCTCTCCCTTTCCCTTCCTCCCGTTCCCTGGCTTTCTGGAAGGAAGGTTGGGAGACTGAGTGGGGAAAGTCACGCCCTATTGGAGTCTCACATTCACAGACACTGGCACCCACAGACCCACAAGCGAACGCTAGGAGTTTACCTGCTTTCCTGATCCCACCACAAAAACTCCCCCGAGGATGAAGCCTTCGCCTTCCAGGTTTCCCGAGAAGCCTCCGCTCCGAGCTCGGAAGAAGTTGCTCCAGACCCCGAGCCGTACAAATCCCATGAACATCATCTTGCGCCTTTGGGGGCCGTAGAACTTCTTCTGTAGCAGCAAGGACACAGCCCACTGAGTAGCCTGTAGCCTGCCTTCCCCGGGAGGAAAGGTTCCCGGCAGGATGCTGGCTTTCAGACCAAGACCCAAAGCCTGCTGGTTCCTGTTCTCCCCCCAACACACACACAGCCCCCCGCCAGGAGCACTCGCAACTGCCGAGGAAACGGATTCTGACCTCCAGGCAGACTGACCTAGACCGCTTTCAGCTCCGATTCTGACCTACTGCTAGAGACGTATAGGGTTCTCGTGCCTGACAGGTGACTACAGTCCTACATTCTGCAGGGGACAGAGTAGAGGGAAAGGAAATATGACTAATGAATTAAGGGACAGGGGCTTGTGCTGGGCCCCCACCTGTGTGGTGGGGAAAACCAACCGAGTTTCAGCCACTTCTAGACTCCCCTTCCCAAGTGACAGTTAGGAAGGGCTCAATTAATTCGTGGGAGGACAGCTTTTCAGTGTCTAATCAGCTCATTTCAGAGGGCTGGGAGGGCCCCAGCAAGTTCAGGGCAGCTGAAAGGGAGCCCAGCCCAGCCTCCAGCTCCAGGCCAGACACACCCTAGGGTACCAAACTCTCCACACCTGAGCACAGTCCCCCTCCAGTCTGTGCCACAGGCTCACAGCAGGTACCTTTTCATCCAGGAAGATTTCCCCTTTGAAGTAAGGCTGGAAGTCCTTCACTTCAGTCCTGATCTGCTCCTTCACCACTGCGTAGAGGGGGACACCCAGCTCATCCAACTTGGGCTTCAGGGAGGACAGGTCTGCAGCCTCCTGCAGAAAACAGCGAAGGACAGGGGCACAAACTCCTGCAGCTCTGCAGCCAACCAGCACCCACTTCCCTACAGCCCAGAGCATGGCTGGCACCGCATGCAGAAGAACAAGGCAACTAAATGCCAGAAACAATTAAGGCCTGTGTAGCCGAGCATGACACTGTCCCAGCTGGGCACCAGGCCTCAGTACAGGGTGTTAGGCTTCTTGTCTTCTCCATGGTGGGAGCAGGGGTTAGGCTCCTGTTATGGGTGTCCTAACCACTGCCCAGGGAGCACCTACTAACTAAGAGATTGTACCCAAATATGGTCCTTTACGCCTAGCTACGACACTTCTCTCCTAACTCATCTTCGAGCCCCTCCCCTGCATTGGACCAAAATAGCACAAGGGCCTATTGGACAAAAAAGGAGGCACAGGGAGAGCTGCCTCCACACCTTTGCTCAGTTGGCTTCCCCTCACTGCAACAACCTTCCTTCTTTCTCCAGCTCAAATCCTACCTCCAGGAAGGGATTCCTGTTCTAAGAAGTTCTCCCTGACTGGTCCAGGCTAGGGTAAAGCCCTGATTCTCTGCATACTCCATCTTTCCTGCTGCATGACTTTTTCTGTACTGAGTCTGTGTGTTCCCACTAGGCTGAGCTTTGTCTCTTAAGTTCCCAAGTGTGTCTCATAGTTAGCAACTATGTCTTCCACTTCTTGTATTCTCAGTGCCTCGCACACGGCTGGATATACCATGAACTAGAGGTGAAGTGGGAAGCTGTGACGGTGGATACTGAGGGGAACGCAGCTGAGCTGAAAGCACAGACATCCTGGACTCTAGAACCACATGCCAAGTGACTAATGAAACTGCCTGTGTCACGGTCAGGCTCAAAGCTAAAAACAAATTCCTTTTTCACATTTGGCATCAGAATTAAAGAAACAGCAGGAAATCCTTTCAAATGCAGCTCACTCGCCTCCAATATAAACACACTGCTGTACAGTGGCAACTACATTTAATTTTTCATTTCTTTCCTAGAACAACAACCAAAGGATAGCTAATGAAGCAGAATTCATTACAATGCTTTTATCGAGAGCTTCAGTGAGTGGCAAGCTTTGTCCCAGAGCAGAGAGGACTACAGGCCTGTGTGTAGAATGAAAGGCTGTACTACTCACTTTTCCTGGGCTCTTTACTCTGGGTGTGTCACTGTACAAAGCCATGAAGTGGACAGTCACATACCTCCTCCCCAGGCGACTCAAAATAACTCAGACTGCCAAGCGACCATCCTTTCAGAAACAGAAGTTTCCACAAAATGCTCTGCCAGGGCAGAGACCAGAGCACAGGAAACAGGCTGGAGCCTTTTGGGTTAACTGGCCTTGAGAAATCAAGTCACAACAGGCCTCCATGTTGGCATTTGGAGGCATCACAGATTCGGAATCAAAAGCTCTGAGTTAAAGTTTGGGAAGCAGAATAACACCCTCGGAGAAGATCCACAGCCTGATCCCAGGGACCTGTGAGTACGTGTTGTTACAAGGGGGGGAATTAAGGCAGCAGGTTGAATTTAGGTTGCCCACCAGCTGATCTTAAAGGACACTATCCTGTATTATCCAGGTGGTTCCCACGTGGAATCACAGGATCCTTAAATGCGAAAAAGGAAAGCAGAAAAGGCTGTCACAGTCATGCCCTGCGAGAAAGACTCGCCCAGCCGCTGCTGGCTTTTAAAGTAGAGGAAGGGGCCACGAGCCCAGGGCTGCAGGCAGCCTCCAGAGGCTGGAAGAGGCAAGGAAGCTGTTTATCTCCCACACCCTCCAAAAGAAACAAAAACCTGCTGAAACCTTCCTTTTAGCTCAATGAGACCCATTTCAGAATGCTGACCTCTAGAACTGTAAGAAAATAAACTTGTATTGTTTAAAGCCACTGAGCCTGTGACCGTTTGTGACAGCAGCCATAGGAAATTAATATCCATCCAACCTCTATACCTGTTTCCTCCTCTATAAAATGAGGATAAGAAGCAGCTGTATTTCCAGGGATACGGTGGGGAATGAATGAAATTCCAGGCATGAACGTGCCTTGAGAGCAAGGTGCAGCAGGCTGCCATGTCCTGCAAGCAGCTTCTTTGCCAGCCCGACCACACAAACGGGGAGAGATCTGCAAGGCTGAAAGGAAATGCCGCAGGGGCAGGGAGCACAGCCAGAGGAAGGAGGGCGACAACTTGGATGGGGCCAAGGCCACTTGAGAAGCAAAGTTGTCTCAAGAGCAGGAGTACTGTCATTCCCAGTTCTCCCCAAGGCAGGGCAGTGATCTTGGAACCTGGGTCTTCCTCCACTGACTGACTAGTGTGACCAAACCAGTATGGCCCTTGGTTTACCTACCTGTAACGTGACAAGCTTCCTCACTTACTGAACAGACAACAATGGCCTCCCTTTGAGGGTCCAACCTTTGAGGGTCACTACCCAGTCAGTGAGTCCCAATTTTCACCAAATTCTCAGGCCAACTCTACCCACACTATTGCCATGACTGAAATCCCCTGAGCTCCAGATCCAATGCTGAGAGCACAGTCAGGCAATGGAGCTGCCACATGAAAAAATATGTGGTGCTCAGCTGTCCATCAGGCACTCTAGGGGGCTCCCCAAGAACAGGGAGACAGGCAGGTCCATTCTAAAAGTATAGCCCCTGCGCTCCCCTTTGTGCCTCAGCTGTACCACAGGTGAGGGCTTGAGGGCGGGCCACGCCTGTACCAGTAACAACCCAGACACCCCTTTTAATGAGCATCAGGAACACAGAATTGGACCTGGTCCCATCCTTGATTCAATAGGAAGATGGGTCAGGACACAGACAGTGCAAGAGTCTGGGAGTAATAAAGGAAAGTCAAGTGTGTTGCTAACCCCAGGATATGGTGAGTTGTTAAATGAACAGAAACAGAGAGTAAGTCCTAAGAAATACCTAGAGCAAATAACAACAGATGAACCAGAGTTGATCAACGGCTAAAGAGGGGCTGCAAGTCCTTGGTCCCAGCTGGAAGTGCACTGGCCCCACCTACTAGGGTCCTTTTCTCTGAACAGAACTCCAAATGTACTTACCTCTCGACAGAGAAAACAGCCTGGCCTCCGCACAGCCATAATCACAGCTCCATTCTTTTCCCAGAGCTCTTTTGCTTTGAAAGTCCTTGGTTCTGGGGGGTGAAGGGAATTCAGCATCATATCTACCCATCCCCGCCTCATCCGCCCCACCCACTCAGCAGGTTATAAACGGTACCAAGTCTAGCAGAGGGCCTGGGCATGCATTTCACATATGGGAAAAGCAAACAGGAAACAGGGAACAGTCATCCTCGGAGGAAAATTTATATAGTAAGGATCCTACTGTATACTCCAAAGGCCCCTTCTCCTTAAAAAAATCTATTTAAAAACTTGAACATCCCAAACTAAAACATTTCTGGAAAAGTGGCAGCTAAGAAAACCCCAACTCTAAAAAAAGCATTCAAAGGGATTAAGTCAACAAAAATTATTTTAAAAATTTTACCCTACATGTTAAGTACAATATTATCCAGAGGGGAGGGTAGAAGATGCCTAACGAAGACACGCCTTGGGGTAGTAGAGCACTGTAGGCTCAAGCCTGGCCCCCAGGTCAGAGTGAGTCTGCCTCTAGCTGTGTGACCTTGGCCATGCTGTGTCTCTGCCTGAACCTCAGTGTCCTCGTCTGTAAATGCAGATGTCTGGGCTGCAGGCAGTATTAACAGATGGCTATGTAAGTGCTCACCAAAGTGTCTAATCATATAGTTAGTTGAGGGGTCAATAAGTATGGACCCTTATTATTTCAACATTTCTCAGAGGAATCCATGTCTCTGTGGGATGTTATATATATAAAAAAAACAAATCACAAAAACGGGGGTTGGGGGTGGTGGGTGAGACTGGGAATCCCTGAGTTGAACAAAGCACAACAGGTCTCTTCAGGGTTTCTTAATCCCTTAGAAAGAAAGGTGACCTACATCATAAACCCCAGTCACAGTTCCTGCCTTCCCTTGACAAGATTCCTCACCTACTCAACAGACAACAATGGCCTCCCTTTGAGGGGCCACCCTGAAGACTGCCCAGTCAGTGAGCCCCAACTTTCACCAAACTCTCACTCCTCCTCTGCCCACACTATTGGCATGACTGACAGCCAATGCTGAGGGCACAGTCAGGCAATGGAGCTGCCCTCAGCTGTCCACCAGGGGCTCCAGGGGGCTCCCCAAGCTGGTCCACTCTAAAAGCACAACCCTGTGTTCCCCCGTGTGCCACAGCCGCACCACAGGTGAGGCAGCTATGCCTGTACCAGTAACAATCCAGGCACCTTCCAGTGAGCAAATCCCTGTGCTGAACACTAGGAACATGGAATTGGATACAGTATTTCTCAAACTTATTTGGCTCAGGAGCTCCTGTTTTGTGAAGATCTGGAAGCCCAGATTCCTCAGCACACACTGTGTTAGGGCTGGTTTAGGAAATGGTGGTACAACATTACTAAAGAGTATGGAGCAATTATCATTATATTTAGATAATGCAACAGCATAGTATTGCAACAGCAATACAAAGTGAAAAATGATTTTGGTAAGAAAAAGCTAAACTGTACACTGAGATAACAAATACAGGGTGTCCTAAAAACATGTATGCACACTTTTACAACTGATAGCTCAATTTTGAAAATGAAATGTATTTTAAAAACACTGCCTTTATAATTATTCAAAGTGTGTGCATACATTTTTGGGGATAACCTATATACAGTAATGTGTACATATGCAAAAAATATGCAAAAATAGAAACAACTATTATTAAGGTAATGAAATTATCAGTAATTCAAAAAGTGTTATTAAATTTTTCCTAACGTTGTTATATTACCTTTTCAATTAAAAAAAAGAGAGAGTATTTTACAAAGAAAAAAATACGTAAGCCTGCATCTCAGTGCCTTGGAAAAGTACTGAGACCAGAGGGGTCACTGCTTACCCTTCTCCAGTGTTTTCAACTCTGTTTCCTCCAGATACTCCAGGGTTGCTCGCTGGGGCTTGGACAGAAATATGTCTGTGTTGGCCAGGAGCAATGCCAGGGCAGCAGCCCCCAGGGCCCCTGCACCAATCGACCACATCCCCATGGTGAAGAAACTTGGATCCTGCAGGAAAGACATTTCTGGAGATTGAGAGGAAGGAAGACGATGTTACTGCTCTCACAAGATAGCTGGAATCTGATCTCCCAAAGTGCAAGGCTCCAGCTGGGCAGCCACCAGGTGGCCAGAGGCAAGGGGAGGGGGAGCCACAGCAGCAGAGATGGGACTGGACCAGGGCTGCTGAGCACCTGCCATTACAAGAGCTGGATGCAACAAACACACGGAGGTTCCTGCCCCAAGGAGCTCACCAGTGATTCAGGAGCGATGACAGAGAAATGACAGCCCCCTCAGATCCTCCTCTTGCTGTTTCCTCTCCCATGCCCAAGGTGGCAGCCTCCCTGCTCTGTGGTGCTCATCCGAGCTGTGCCCTCTCTTCCCTCCTGGTCAATGCCTGCGGCTCCTTCACAGTCCAGGAGTCTCAGCTATCATCTCCCCAGGGAGGGGCAGCTTTCTCTTCTGTGATCAGAGGGTACTTACCTCATCCCACCAATCACAGTGTCCCCTGTGTCCCCACCAATCACAGCATCCCATTACCCTCTCCTTCTTCCTCTCCGTGAATCCCTCAGAAATAGAGACCGGGTCCTATTCATCCGGCCTCCAGTCCCCAGCAGGGCCTCCCTCGTGGTAGGCAGGCAATCTCAGTACCTTTCTCCCAACTGAGAATAGCTTTATTTTTCACTCATTATACAAATAAAACAGGTTCATGGTGAAAGCAAAACAAAAACAAAAAAGAAGCAATGCATAAAACCAGTCGACAAGAAAGCAGATTATCTTCTGAACATCCACCACCTATTAAATTACTCAGCTGAACAGAGGTGGCCACTATTAAACACCAGTATCTCATCTGACACTTGCCCCCTATGAAGAGAGCTACACAGAGGACTGTCAAGTGCATGGGAGCAGGGATGGAGAGCAGGCACAGGAAGAGCACGGTTCTGGGTGTCTGCTTCAGAGAGGCTGGGCAACAGACAGAGCTCCAGGAGCGTCCTGGAGAACCAAGTCCAGCCTCGTTCTGAGCTGGCGCACCAGTGCCTCACTACGACTTCCTATAGTTAGGAAGCCTCATGCTTATGGGTGGGGGGGCTCCTGGACGCAGCCCACCCCTGTAACAGCAGCAGGTACCCCATCCAGTCTTCCTTCAAATGACAATCATTTACAAAGTCTATCTTTCCACCTGGCCCTCTGGCCATCCTAAGGATCTTACACCGGAGCCTTCCTCCTTAAATACCAGCTTAATTCTTTGTGCTGAGATCACCAGGTACAGACCTGGTGTGTGTGTATGGCCCTCCTAACAGAAGACTTACCTCTCCCCTGCAGGATATGGCTGGGGAGAGGATTTCTCCAAAGGATTCAGCAAATGCTCAGATATCTCCTTTTCACTGCCAAGAGAGGGAGTTGTGAGGGATCCACCAGTGCCTGGAGGTGGGGCTGGGAGTAACTTGGTAGTGATGACTTTGGGAAAAGGGTAGGCCAGACTAGTGCTAAGGTCGGCCTGGGAAATTCAGATTTAAGAAGTAACAAGGAACTTCTAGGTGGGGTGAGAACGACCAAATGAAAATAGCATTTGAGGGAGAAGGATTTGGTATCCTTGTATATTAGGGGAAAGGTGGAAAAAGGGGGAGGCCAGTGTGTGTGGTGTGGGAGGGAATGCTGCTATGGCATCTCTGATGTGAGGGACTCAGCGGGGAGAGAAGTTTCTTATAACCTCGCTATTCAAAAACTGGTCTTGTGGACTGGCAGCATCGGCATGGTGTGGGATGCTGCATCTCAAGCCTCACCTCAGAACAAAGGAATCGTACGCGCCATTTTGGTCCGATTGGCAAGCAATTCACATGCACATAAAGTCTGAGGATCATTGTCTTGGAGCAAAGAATTCAGGGTTTTGTGTTTGGTTGGCCATGAGGGTAGGCTGGCCTTGGAGAGCTGGGCCCTCCTCAAGGCCCAGACTTCTGTTCCCCCAGCTCACTGTGGGAGGGCAGCGATGGTTACAGTGACAGTAAAAGGTGGGAGCACATCTCCACACCTCTGCCTGGAATGTCCTATCCCATTCATTCTATTCTTCAAGGCCTAGACACCTCTTCAAGTCCTTCTGGATGCTCTGCCTACCCCGACCCCAGCCCAAGAGGTGCTAACTCACCCCACCTCGATACCGTGTCCACATTGCACTCACGATCCATCTCACGTGCTCGACACAAGGTTGGATCTACCTGTTCCACGTTGACCTCTGACCTCCTGTGCCTAGCACAGTACCTGACTGGTATACAGCAAGCTCTCCATAAATGTGTGCTGAAATAAATTCAATAGAACTGAATGATGAAGATGATGACTCATGGAAGACCAAAGTTCTTGGGCCAAGCAGTAAAGAACCTTCCATGGCTTTGGCTTCCAGTTCTTTTAGGTAGCAAAGTTACACATTACTGGATTACTGTTCACAAAACAATTAGGAGGAAAACCACAGCTCTCACCTGCCTGCTGTAAACAAGAGACTCCTCAGGGTCTGGAACAACTGCTGCATGTTTACGCACTTCCGACACGTCCTCGGAATTCTGACATATGTGTATGATTCAGGAACACATGTCATGGTCTCTGATCACAGGCCTGATAACATTTCTGCACCAATACTCAAAGGCCAGCTTACACCCACCCTACAAAAGGACTTGCTTAACTCCTGGAACACATCAGTGCACTCCAGGAAGTCCGGCGACCCCTAGAGTCAGCTCCACATCCTTCCAGCACCCCACAACTATTCTCAGAGGCAAACAGGCTCCATCAGCAACCATGTAGCCTGTTTGCTCAAGAGTGCAAGGAAATCAGAATCAGCTAGACTCACCATTTATTTCCAAATATTTATTCAGCACAGATGTAATAGATGGCAATTTAGGGGACATAAAACTAAATGAAACACAGTCCTCAAGGAGATACAGGCCTAGTACACAGATAACAGAATTTCAGGAGGAAAGCTAAGGCAGCTTGGAAAAGGTAGGAACATGGGGCTATGGCAGTGCAGGGCTAAGAGCTGGTTATGTCTGCTCTGCGAAGTCACAGAAGTAGGCAGAAGGAGGTGTCTTTGGCGCACACATAGGACCCTGGGGGCAGGATGGAAGAACTAGGTCAGGCAGGGGATGAATAAACCTGGGGAGCAGCAGGCTGGCTGGGGGTGGATGTCCATGTCCATGCTGAAGGCACTCTGAGAGTACAAATTTCCACATCCCAAAGGCCCCTAACTCTCTACCTCAAGTTCAAGAGGTGAAGTACAAGATGCAGGCTCCAAAACCATCAGGAGAAATGTTTCCCACCTCCTCTGGCTGTGATCCAGAAAGTGTGAGCAGGGAGCAGGGACCTCATCCTGAAGCCTTGCAGCACTAATATGCGAGAGCCTTGTTAGCACCAGAGGTGAGAGTTGGACCTCTCCATGAACATATGCACCCAGGGGCCTCTGGCAGCTGGCCCTTCTGCTGGTGAAAAGCAGTGAAAATTTACTTTGGAAATACCTGGAAAGTATGTAGGTCCAGCCCCTCAGCCAAGGCCCCGTGAACTACAAAGCAGTTTCTATCCTGGCCTATCTTAGACTATGTACCACTGCAATTTGCTGCACTGGGAGAGCTGACTCTGAACCCAAATCACCTATAAAAAAGGAGGTGGGTAGAGGGAGCCTTAAGAGCTAAATGGGAACAATGCATTTTCACCTGGGTCTCTAAGGCTACTAACTAGAAAGCTAGGGAGGCCAGGAAACCAGCACTTACTTAGTGTCACTGGACACACACAGCCTAATTTCATTCCCTCAACAGTCTCATGATGCAGAAATGATTCTGTCCTATGGCTGACAGCTCTGAGGTTCAGAGACATTCAGTACCTTCTCCAGTGTCACAAAGCCAGCAGGCAGCAGTGCTGCACCCTAGACCCACGTCACCAGGACCTCGAAGCTGGTAGTCTTTCTACTGTCATACTTTGTCTCCCCACACCATCATTTGTGGGTTTCTGGAGGCAAGGGGTACCATCCCCTTTGTCTTAAAGAGAATTTAAAAAGATCAACTTACTTTTTCAGTCACCGAATACAGTCAAACGATGTTTACTCTAAAGGAAATTTACCATATGACAGATGTCCCTTCTCTTTCCTCCCTTCCCAGCCCTTTCCCTTAAGGAAAGGGTCAGTTTCTCTGAAAGATAATAGCAAGGTTGTTTACAGAAGAGCCAGCCCCCACCTGACACAGCTACAGTATTCAGTTCTCCACTGTGGGATTTATTTGATCTGTCCTCCCACACAAGAAGGTGACGCGCGTTAAGACCACAAACCAACGACAGCTGTGGCAGCTCAGAGTGGCAGCTCTGGTCTGGGAGAGCATGGTGCTGGGGGGAGGAGGCCCAGCTAGACTCCCTAGGCCAAGCTGGGTTGATTCCACCCTGCAGCCCTCTCAACCCCCAACCCCAGGCTCATTTTCCTCAACTCCAAAATGAGGGAGTTGGTCAAGGTGAATGCTAAGGTTCCTAAAGTACCCCCGTGACATCCTGTGACTATCAAAAACAGCTCAGTTTGAAGTCTGCACATTCTTGGTTCTTCATCATAACTCTACCCTCTCTTCCCCATTCCAATTTACAGAGTGTTTCTTCCCTGCTGGCCAGAGCTTCACAAGGTATCTTCCCTCCCAATACAGGGTCCCTTATCCCCAACCTTGGGCAGTTCAAACCTGGGCACCAGGCACTCACCATTCAGAGCGTCCAAACTCCTGCTTCTGCTGACAAAGGCTTACTCAGTGAGCAGACACAAATTGGGTGGCTGGGGAGGGCTGGAGGCGGAGCTCCAGAGACCTGCCTATGGCCCTAAGCTCACTCATTCCATGGGGCAGGAGCTGGCCACCCAGAAACCCTGCAGCTCCTTCAGCTGCCAATAGTCAATTTCCAGAAAGCTGCCAAGGCCCCCTAGCCCTTCAGAGAGCTGAACAAAGTTTGAGTCATCTGCAGTCATGCAGATTATAACATTTATCAAGTGCCAACAGACTCCCTCTCTGCTATCCGGTATAGTCTAATGAAGCGAAGCCCTTAATACAGCCCATGTGTCACACTAACTGAAGTCAAAGGGGGGTTTCCCTTTCTCCCTGGCTGCTCATGTAGCCTGAACCCTCGCCCCATTTTCCCCACCCCCGGAAAGTCAGCTGGCACCACTGAGACCCCTCACCTGCTGTCTCTTCTCTAGCTCCTTTGCCTTCTCTTTTTCTGCCACTTAAGTGGCTTCTCTCAACCTGCCCTCCCTTCCTGGGCAGCCTCACCAACCTCCAGCACTTCACCCACAACCTTGGTATTGACTTCAGGTCTATTGCTGTTCCTGACTCAGTTTCCACTTGGGTGTTCTGTAGGTTATCTCTGTTGCACTATGTCCATAAGCGACCTCCACTAAAGTCAGTTTCTCTTCCAGAGTTCCCTAGCTCAGTGAATGAATGACACAAGCACCTAGCCAACTGCTCAAGCCAGAAAGGGACAATCACACTTCACTTTTCTTTCTCCCTCCTTGCCCACATCCATTCAGTCAGGAAAATGTGTTTGTTACGCATGCTCTTCTTAACCTCATGGCTTCTGTCCATGCCCAGGCCCCTACTACTCTGTACCTGGCCCATTTCAGTAACCGCACAACTGAGCATGGCTTAGCTCCAGTCAGGTCCTCTCCAGCATGTTCTCCACGCTGTAGCCAGAGCAAGAGTAACACACCGACCTGATCACCTCTTTGCCTTGCTTTTGGACTCTCACACTGAACTCCTCAGCAGTCGATGGAGCCCTTAACAGCTTGGCTTCAGCCCACCATTTAGCCTCATCCCTGCCACTTCAGCACCCTCGCCAGACCACTCAATGTGCGAGGATTAGAACATGTTTTGTTAGGCTCTGCACAGCTGCTTCCTTTACCCTGAATACCCTCCCCATTCATGCCAACTAGGTAAAGGCCCAGAACAAGTAACACTTTCTTTCCAAAGCTTTTCCAGAGAGCCCGGCAACTGACTGCGCCTCACCTCTGATTATATAGCGTGCGTGCATATGCAAACACACATACCTTTGCACACTGCACAGCAAATGGGCTTAGTGTACTTGAGTTCTTTACATGTCTGTCTACACAACATGGTGGAGCAACATGAGGGCAGGGGCGACTTCTTACTCATTCCTGCATTTTCAGCACTTAACACAAATCCTGGTAATTAGTAGGCATTAAATGTCTAACGAAATGATCTGATTTTTTGTTTGTTTGTTAATCTTCACCCAAGGATATTTTTTTCCATTGATTTTTAGAGTGGTAGGGA